TCCTGACTTGTAGATCAAGCGGCTGCTCCTCACTTCGATCGGCCTGTTGTGTCGGGCATATGCAGTGGGGCATAAGAATGTGGTTTTCCGTTGCTTGCCGCCAAATTGGAAATGAGTTGCTGGTCAAAGGTCACAGCAATATGATTCTGTGAGGCTAGCTGGCACTAGCTCTTGGTCATGGGCTTACGGCAAACAGTATAAACTGGTGTTGCCTGCTTGTACTTGTGAGACTGTGAGACAGTGGTCGATGTCTTCATACAACTCGGTTTGCCTGAGTCTACCGCTACAGTTATCAATCGCAGCTAAGAAATCCCTGTGCCCTGTGAGAGACACCTGCTTGCACAACAATCGTCCTAAATGCACAGCCCTGGCTGCGAGCCTCGCGGTTCCTATTGAAGCGGCTGGCTGGTGTGCTTTTGGCAGTATGCATTCTTTTGGGCGATTCCATTTGTGGAGATACAACCTCAGCCAACAGCTTCCAATTGTGTCTGGAATTGTCTGGATCTATCACCCTCTGGCACAGTTTTTTGCCCTACCTCAGCCAAGCACTCTTGGAGGGCGGAACTTTGAGGCTCATGCTCGAGAAGGGCTCGGCGTGAAAAAGGAAGGCGCCTCCTCCAACAGGATGATTACAATCTCACGTGTCCTTTAAAATCTAAGAATCCCTTATAGGTTGGAGGCCATCGCTCTTAGGTTGGAGGCCATCGCTATTAGTTCTCCTAAGAACTAGGAACCAAAAGGAATAGTGCGAGCGCTTCTTCAAGGAAGCTCGCCGTGCCTGAGGGCGCTTCCTTGAAGAAGCGTGAGCTGTCCTGCATCCTAGCTAGTAGCTACTCAAGCTACTACTTACTGTACCCGCTACTACTAGCTGATTGTTAGCCTACTACGGCCTCCCCCCTTTAAGGACATTGAAAAACTTGACAAGAACATCAAGAAAGTGACAATTTGACAACATCACGACAGCTCGCCCATTTGTTGACCATTGCCAGGGCCAGTGAAGGTCCATTCTCCGTTTGCTCCTGCGAGAAGTGTGTCGTCTTTGGCGAACCTCTCCACCTCAGTCTTCTTGAAAGTCACGGCATTCTCAATCGAGCTTAGCTAGATTGTTTTGGAAAGCCAATAATGATGCCAAACAAACAGTCTTCAAGCAGCACTCTGGAGCCCCCACTTCCAGTCGTCTGCCTCCGATGCATTCAGCAAACCTGGCAATCAGGTCATGTTTCGCCATAGAGTCAAGCATGCTGCTTGACGGCCAATGGATATTTCAGGTTTTGGCCTATCCATAGTGTGTGTGTGTGTGTGCGTGTGTGTGAAGGAATTCCCAAGTTCTGCAGAGTCTTTCGAGCGGAGAGATCCCCTCACAACGCTGGTGACAGGTGCTAGACAGTACAAGACTTGCTTCCTTGGAATAATCCGTCAGGGTGCTAGGAAAAACAAGAAGCTAAACTCCAGGTAAGTTCCCTAGAAACAACCCTCTGTGATTGGCAGCAAATGGCCCTCGAGTAGTAAATGTTCAAAGAAAAAAAGGATAGCGAAGGTATAATATAAACGAAAGCTAGGGCAATCGGTTGCACAAGTGCGTCACCGTGTAATCTTGATTCAATCAACGATGCCTAATGGTAACGGCCAGCTTACCGTTATCTTGTGCTGGTCATTTCTCGATGAGAACAAACTCAGCCAACCCTAGCTTTCGTGCTCAGTCTCTGTAATCAGGATTCTTCGAGTGATCCAATAGACCCACTTTGGACTTAGGTTAAAGCATGTAGTTCAAACAGGTGAAGATAAAGTCAATCTTTAGTCCAAAACCTATGTAAGTATTTATGTATGCGAATCTATGTGGGTCCGTAGCAAAAAGAGGTCAAGTTCTGAGAAACAAATGCACATCCATGACCATCCCCTCATTGCATCAACCACTTGAAAATGGCAAGCCCTAGCTAGTTGAACCCATGTTTCCGTATCTAGCTCACAATCATTCCCATGCTTCCTTTTACTGCACTCAAGTCAGGTCCACAAACCCAAGTTGAGGGACCATCTCACCGAAATCTTCACATAGACTCCGCACCTCCTGCGATGGTGCCTTGTAAGGCGCCCACTCGCTCGCGGACCTTGCTCGATGAACGCAAACCCCTGTAGCAGCGTCCTTGCTCCTAGTAGCGATGCCAGGAGCCCCAGTAGCTTCTTGTTACTACTAGTAAGGCACTTGTTACTAGTAGCGATGCACTTGTTCCTAGTAGCTTCTTGCTCCTAGTAGTAAGGCCAGGAGCCCCTAGTAGCGTCCTTGCTCCTAGTAGCGATGCCAGGAGCCCCTGGTAGCGTTCTTGGAAAACCGGTTTGCATCGGACCGCCTATGGCAATCTGCAGAATCCCATCCGTCTCCCATAGGAGTGTGAGGATGCTCACGGCTTCATATGAATTGCTTTCCAGGTACTTGTAGGGTGTGTTCGCTTGAAGTTAGGACGTCCGGTATCTTTTCTAGCATCTTTAGATATCATTGTCGTTCGGTCTGTGCAGTCATGTGTATAGTTCAGTTTTGTTCACAGGAATCCCAGCATGACCGACTTCAGTAAAGAAACCTGCACCAAATATCATGCAAATGCACCTTTGCCGACTGTCTATGCAACTTCCCTGCGGTATCGTTTGGGGTGTCGTTGAGGTATCGTTGTGCGTCCCGGATTTTTGTGCTTCTTTGCCAGAATTCACTCTACAAGTGGGGCATATCTTTTTCGAATCTCCTGTGTCCTTTGCCAAGGAAAACTGAACACCACGAGCCCGGAACTTGAAGAAATTACTAATCTTCTGGAGTACAGATCTTGAATCCTTGTCTGTTTGCCAGAGTGATCTTGAGAATCCTTGAGACTTGACACACAAAATATTCTAACAAGCGGGTTGCCATCTATCAAATGAAGAACCTCCAGTCTGCATGATGCAGGAAGGGGAGTTGAAGCAATCCCACACTGCAAATATTCTCGTGTAGGAGGGAGCATCAAAAAGTCATACATTCTTTCTATGCCATGCATGAACGTGTAAGCAGACTGCAAGGAAGCAATGTAATACCATCTCGACCATCTTGCAGGATGCTGAGCTTGGAGCCACCTCCATAATGCTATGAATGCTAGTAACACCTGGGATGTCGGCCATCAGCAGGAACTGTCCAGTAGACTTGACAAATGTGTGCTTTCCTCTTGTGCGTAGACAATGCTTACTTTCGAAAGATGAGTGCAAGCTAGTTCCGCCAAGTTGCTATCCTGGCGTTGTGGCGGCAAGATCAACGCACTCACTGTTCCTCAAACACTTTTGTGGCTCAATGTGGCTCATCCACGCTGACTTGACTCGCTGATGATATTTGACGTTTTTAGCCTTGCGTGGAAACAGCCCGTTGGGAACTAATGATATCTCACTGGCCGCTGTGCAAAGTCCGTCTGAACTTGGCAGCCCCACGTTTGGTGCAAACGCTCTTGCCATCCTGGCAAGATTGCAGGGGTCCAGAGGCCCAGCTTTGAGAAGGTGCTGGGACGCAATTCTTAAGTAAAAAGATATATCTTCAGCACACTATAATCACCATACAGTAACTATATATACATTATATACTGTAGACATCCTCTTTTTGCCTGCCTCTACAGCGATCGACGTGAGATTCACTTCACATCTCCCATCGCGCTCCTCGTCGCTGGAGGCCGATTGATCTGTCACTACTCAATGGTGTGGCTCTGACAAAGGGTCAGAACTGCACGAGCCCTCAAATCGGCTATGCTCTACAGTAACTCAGTATCAGGTGGAAAAGACCACTCCACTATGAGCCATCCTTAGGTTTGGTGCAACAAAAATCCGTGGATTGAATGTGAGGGGCAGGAGGCAACTGAAAGACAACAAATGCAATCGGCGGTGCTCCTGAGCAACATCGGCTGAAGCGTCTATGGCATCCGCGTCCATGGAGGACACCTGACGGGAATTCTGAGAAGTCTACATGATCCAAATACGGCAATCGAGCAAGTTCGTTGTCATGCTGTTGATAGACAAAAAAAGAAATCCTGCACCACTTTGCGCACAGTTCTCTGGCTGCCCTCGTCCTCCCTCGTTAACATTGGGGCCACCACAGTGAGAAAAACTAAACAAGTTTAAGGTCCAAAAATCCTGCACCACCTCCTCAGAGGTGTCGCGCCAACATTGAATGAGGGGGCGAAAGGGGCTATGCGACCCTTCCAGGGTAAAGTGGTGAGGTGGTGCAGGATTCCGTCCATCAACAGTGTCACTACAACATGAAATGATATGGAATGCTCTCTCTAATTCACTCAACTGCTAGCTTGTCAATGATGGGAATACAAAGCAGACAACAGAATCAAAACATATCAAAAGCATTTCTCCGAACCGACTTCTTCGCCTCGGCTTCACACAGCTCCTTCGCCCGGTCGGGCCGCTCCGCCCGTCTACCGGTGCACGCTGTGAACACGAAAGAAAGCGACGATTTACCTGTGATTAAGTCGGGCCATTCCAGGCAGTGTGGGTCACCCGATGTTTTTGATTAAACAAAATGATTAATTAAAAAAAGAAAGCACATGAAGACCGGTGCCGGTGACCTCAGCAGGGGTTCAGGACAACCAAGAAACTGCTGCGGATTGGAGCGGGGCACATGTTGGGATGCTGATGTCTTGATTGCTTGGTCATTTGGTTCAATTATTCATCAATGAGCCATAAATCCACCTTCTATTCTAGATACTGCTTATGATTCTTATGTTGCTCTGCATCAAAAGGGTTATATACAGTGGTTTTGAGCCTCAAAATAGGGCTGCAGTAGAAGGTCAGCGATAGAGGTGCTGGGGCATCAGTTTGCTCAGATGTCCACACTGATAACATCATGAAAAGTGGGGGATTCATTGATGATTCATTGGGGCTTCAGCTAACTCAATTCACAAGCTTTCTGTAGCATGAGTTCTTGAGTGCGTCCCTGCAGTCTCGTCATCTGCCCTTCCCCTGGTTCTTCACGCAAATGTGCAGAGCTGGACGCCAGCGTGACGCCATGATATTCTGTAGGCCCCTGTCGAGACAGACTTTTGTAGCGCTTGACCTGGCACGGTACCAGGCATTCCTGAAAATACCAGGCATTCATATTTAAACCGTAAACCCACAATCATGCAAAACAGAGCTTAAGTTACAAACTGGGTTTGTGTTTACCGAAATCTCACATCCGCGTGTTGTTTCGTTCTATACAGGCAAAACACATTTGCCTTGTTGTCCCAAAAATGCAGCCCCTCTGCACTGCTCATCGAACCAATACCATAATCGGTCGTCTTGAACTTTGACAGATGTCCCTCGAGAACATGACCCTATTAAGCAAGGCAAAGTCTAACAGTCTAACAAATTCGATCATGGTTCAGATTCCTACTGTATTGTGTCAAACAAAAGGGTGCACTCACTTCTATTCCTACTTCCATAATTATAGGTCAACTCTTTCTCAACTAGCTAACAGGTCACAATCGCCCACCAAGATACTGTGCATGAGATCCTGATAACACGCAAGTCAGTACAGATTCTTTCAATGAAACCCTTCCCAGCTGCCTGAGCTCCATTCCATGTATTTCCAGGGTCTGGCAGGTCAAAGACCTCAGGTACTTGCTGAAGCTGGAACCATAGTCAAATCCAGAACAAGGACGCTACTAGGGGCTCCTGGCCTTACTACTAGGAGCAAGGACGCTACTAGGGGCTCCTGGCATCGCTACTAGGAGCAAGGACGCTACTAGGGGCACGAAAGTCAAGATGCGTCCCGATGGGATCCTGTTTGCTGTGGCAAGACGAGACTGATCGAGACTGTAAAGGTGAAGGTGGTAAAACCGCTCTGTACATCAAAGAATGTCATCTCCAAGCCATGCTCTTCCATGATGTCATACACTGCCAGATTGCAAATATATTTGCCTTCGAGACCGACTGAGGCATTAAAGCTCAGATTGAATCTTCATATTGTTATGAGAACACCAACAACCTCCTCAATCTTCTTGCGCGCCATCTCCAAGCATTAAAAATGCACTTCATGGCCTGATTCGACTAGCGCCTTGACAACAGGAAGTGTTGGGTTGAGGTGTCCTACAAATTCAGAGCATGTGAAGAAGCAGCGCACCATCGCGACATGAAAAAGCTGGAGAATGCATGGGGCTCAACGTTTGCTTTGGGAATCAGCTGACTGGCATGAAGACTTGACTTGAAAACAACACGCATGTCAAAAGGCGCAGCAAACCAAACAGCAAACTTGAAAGTCTTGCAAACAAGAACAAAACCCTGGAACAAAATAATCCCTCCCCATTGCCAAACCACATCCAGACTTTCAGAAGCTGACTTCCTTGCTGTCAGCCCTGGTTAGAAACCAGTGCCGTTCTGAGGGCCCCGCTGCGATTATGGGACTGGCACAGCTTCGCTTGTATTCACAGTTTGCAGTTCATATGGCTAGTTTGACATGAGGAAGACAAAAAGCAAAGCTCCCCATGGATCTAAAGACTATCGCTTGTCTATGCTTTCCTGATAAGCAAGAGAATGAGAATGGGGCAAGAGCAAAAGGGTGCCAAAGTTCCTCCTCCGGGACAATTTCAGTCTTAACGAATCTTTGAAGTCTCTATTTCTGCAGTTGATAGTTGATACCTAGATTCCTTCGGCGCGGCCTCCAGGGTGATGGAGGCCGGTCCAGCCCAAAGCGGCGCGTCAGCAACTGACCGTGCTCGGATGGGTTGTCCAGCTGTCCCGAACATGCTAACTCTGTTAAATTCTTGTCCTGCACCAAGTCGATCAAAAGAAGCTTCACTTTAATATGCTTTATATAATCAAAACATATCAAAACTCGTTATCATCGCATCTATCCATCCTTCAGTTTTCTTGAATTCTAAAGCTTCTGTACTTGTCATCAAGGAGAATGATTGAGCAGTCCTTTGTGGGGTATCGCCCTATTCTGACCTTCCTTCTTGGTTCGTTTTTCGCTGAGGTACCTCCGTGGCTTTCAGCAATCTTGCTGGCCAAAAGGTGAACTTGTCATGGACCAGATTGAGATCCTCACCAAACAAGCTCGCAGGGGCCGCAAATCAGTTTGAAGATTTAAAAGAGCATTCATGAACCTGGCGACACCCGCCGCATGACATACAGTATCAAGTCTCGTCATCAATGAATCAACCAATCCAACTGTCGCAGTACCCAGGTTGCATCAATTTCCAGGTTGCACTAATTCTTGGTCCTGCTCTATCTGCAGGGTCTGATTCCAGTACCATTCGATGAGACTATGGCCATCAATCATCACCTGTGGCGAGTTCAAGCACTGCGCTTTGCTAGGTTCATGCTGCATTTGGGCGGCTGAGAGGAAGCTGGGTGTTTTACCAGCATTCATATCATTCATACATTCATAGATTCATAAACAACTCAAAGATCTGAGTGATTTGGCAAATGTTTTGGATGGAGTTTGTTTTCTGGCCACCATGGGCCGTGACAGCTTTTCAGAAAAGGGAAGGCTCTCCTTGTGGTTGAACCCAAATGACCTGCCTTGTGTCGGCTGTCACAAAATTTTTCTTGTGACTACTAAGCACTACAAGTGCTAGCTACCAAAATTGACTGGTTGAACAACACGTCCTGTGCCTCCATGGTCTCCTTTGGCCATGGAAAATCGTCTAATTCGTCCCTGTCAGCATGTGGGCCAGAGATGGCCCGAGCACAATGGACCGAAGACAAAAATGAGGAAACAAACGGAGAGGAATATAGGTTGATGTTCATAACACTTATGTTACGTTGTTGACTGCAACAAATTAAGTGTCTTCTGATTCTCTGTGTCGACCCAATCAATTGCGTGTTCGCAGGAGAACACCAAGTCTATGTGAAGGACGATCAAAACTTCTTATGTGCGGCTACTATTGCATCGTCATATTTGTAAGTCCCCCATCGTTTCCCACTGTTTTGAAACCTCGTTAAAGGATATCGTTTTTTTGCGAGTCCCCTATCATGTGCCAGGGTTTGGAGCATGCCATATGAATGCAACGCTCTTATGATTATGCAATTGTAATCATCGCAAATGTTGAAGGCACTTCATGTGTGTGTGTGTGCGTGACTGCTGGTGCCCAAAGAGCAGGTGTGCCAGGTGACCGTTACCTTCCACCTGGGATGTTCGGCCAGCATGCAAAATGGTCACCTTCAGAACAGCACGAACCTACAAGAAGAAGTGATGTTCTGTAGTCTGGTAGGCTAAAGCACAGGAGGATCCAAATTACAGTATACAACAGCAATGTCCGGTCATGAAATCGTCCCACTCAATGAACCTCAGGCCTGAAAGCTCTAAGGCCCGTCCGGCGTGGCCGCGCTTGTGGGCCTCGCAGGGTCGGGAGGGTCTTCCTTCTCTTGGAGAGGTCTTCTTCGTTCGAAGGAGCAAGGACGCTACTAGGGGCTCCTGGCCTCACTACTAGGAACAAGAAGCTACTAGGAGCAAAGGGCATCACTACTACGAGCAAGGACTCCATTAGGTTGGAGGCGCATGAAAGAGGCCATCCTAGGCTCACTGCGTGGCGGGCTCAAAAAGGCCGGATCACAGCAAGTGAGGACTACCTGGTCGTTTCAGCCGCTGATGATTTCTTTCAGGTGAATGAACGGAGGATGCGGGCCCGGGCCCTACTCAAGAAGAATCAAGCACATCTGCACAAGGTGTTCTAGGAAGACCAGCTGTCATTCTGTAAGCTGAAAGTATGAACACTATGTCACTATGAGCTTTTGATGGATGTGTGCTGAGGCTAGTACTATCAAAAACGCCAGCACTCGCCGCCCGAAACCTCCCTCCCTCAGCAAGTAGCGGAAGCGAGCCCTTGCCACAAAAGCGTGAACGCACAGTTAGGCACCTAATAGCGCTGGCCATGACCTCCAACCTACTAGCCATGGTCAGCTCGTTCTTCTGTGTCGTCAAGCATTAATCATTCATATTGAAACTGAACCAACAATTTAGCTAATCCACCCACTCACCGGTATCTTCCACAATGTAAGCTCCGGACAGCGTGCAGTTTCTAGTCTCGTCTGCTTTTAGCATGTCGGAAAGCTGCACTCTAATTGCCAATCAAAGCGAAGAGCGAGAAGAAGACAAACTCAGTCACTTGTCTCTCACATTGGATTCACATGGTGGAGTTTATCCATCCAGGTCTTGCTGAACTTGCCGAATTCAAGTTAACTTCACAGTTTCCGAAGGGCGAAGTGTTCTTCTCACGTGTTTCCAGAAGAAAGAAACATGCGGTCTTGATCTTTCTAGCCCTGTTACAAATGAGACTGAAATGGTGAAGCGTGGGGGCTTGCGCCAGAAGATCAGTAATTTGGAGGTTAACGGTTAATAGCTCAGAAACTCTGCGGCTCTGTGTTGTTCTTTGTTTGTGCTCAAGGCCTAAGCAGGTCCCCGCATCATTGCGGGTTTCATGAAATGACATGAGAAAGCTTGAACACCAACAAAGCCATGCAGCATGCATGCGTTGTCGCTCAATCCTCGGACCACTAGATCGTCATCCAACCAAGGCAAGTCAGGCAAGTGCCGTGTGATAGGGCACTTTCTGACCAGCGAGCACCCCATGCCATGCCTTTTTTGGCGCTTGGGGAGCTTGGTGCACATGCATCGACTACAGAATTCCTGTAGTCACTGCTCGGTTTGCATTCAACATGGTACAGAAGTCAATGCCTCCTTTAGGATCAATAGGCCTAATGAATGAAAGACATTGAGATTCCTCATTACATGTACAGTATGTAAGTGATTGCGAGGTCTATCAAAACTTGCCCCGCCAGCCTGCGACTGTGTAGGTCTGCAAGTAGGTGTTTGGTGAATAATTCACATGCTCTGTTGGCGGCTTACTGTGGGGCTCGGAGACTCACTCATCGATGACATCTCCGCTGGTAATCACGTCATCGATTTTCAAGATCATCTTGACGACCTTCCAAGCTCTAAGTGAAGATGAGAAAAGGAGCACGGGCATAGGGACTTTAGAATGTGTGTGCTAAATCATCTGAAAAGAAAGAACTGAACAACACAAGCGAAGTATCACCCGTGCAATCTTGTAGGATCCTGTTCTAATCCAACCAGGACAAATTCACAGAGCATTGTTGGCCTGCGTGGCCAAGCGCAATTGGCTGCTCTTCGATGCACAGGCCTTCGGTTCGAAGGGAGGAGCCATGCCAGCCATGCACGGACACTTTCACGGGGAACGACGGGCACCGATACTTTCAGATCTTCCAATGCCTCATAGATGTTCTGCTCCCACATATCTGTGGTCCCAGTCTGCATGCAGTCGACACCTCGGAAGCAGAGATCGATCTTCCAATGAAAGCAGTCAAGAGGTGGAAACTTGATGAAAGAAGTGATGCTCTCAAATGTACAAGTGCTTTGTTTGCTAAGGGAGTCCCAAGGCATCGACCATGCCAGGCATTTCCAGTGTTCTCCTGGACAGCCTGAGTCAGGCAAAAGAATTGCAGCAAAGGGACCAAGAATTGCACAAAGAGTTGTCTGAAGATTTAGAACCTTCTTTCAAAGCTATATGATCATGAGTGTTGAAGGAATCTGTGTGGCTTCAAGCACCATGGCAATGCACCTGTGCCCAAAGGTTCTCGCCTTCAGCTTGGCCATCTCTGCGATGCCCTGCAGGCCGCTGTTCTCGGCCAAGGCCTGCTGCCAAACAAAAGTGCTCAAAGCTTCTGCAAGGTGGATAGTGGACGGGATAGAAAACCGCTCATGACCATAATCTTTACTTCTGATCAATTTCCTTTTTCAGTTCTTTAGCTATCAACCTCCCAAAAGAGATCCTCCAAAGCAGGACCATGTACATACCAAGCGTGCGGGTGAGATGTTGGTCACCTCCTACCTCTGCAACACAGACCGACTACAACGCAGCCAAAAGTATCTAACAGCCAAGGACATGCAGGACATGCAATAAAGCAGTATCAAGTCTGGGTAGCACTGATAGCCGCATGGGACAAATACTGCAGCTGGATGCGACATGTTTGACTGTAGCAAAACAACAAGCAGGAAGCATGAGTGCGTCGTAAGTAGCCCCTAAGGAAGACTGTAGTTATACATTGTAAACCAATATGAGTCTGTCAATGTTTGCAGTTTGGTCCCGAGCCCAGTTCCCAATTCCCCGGCCATCGGAACCACATCGAGCGCATTGGCGAAAGCTTTCATGCTGTACCTGTGAGAGTGGGATCCGTTCTTGGTCTTATCGGAGTCTCATTATTGGTACACATGGCTTAACATGCTGTGGGTCACTGGTCCATGGTCTGCTCCTGAGAGAGGCTCAGAGAATAGCAGCATCAAAACAAGTCTAGACATCGTCAGCGTCGGTGTTTTTCTTGAGTAACCCCATTCAAAGAGAACAAAACGAGGCCATGGCTATTAGGTTGGAGGCCATCGCAGTTAGAAACAAACATTCTATTATACTTATTATACGTTGCCCGCTACTGAATCGTAAGCTCATGCTCTGGTCTCCATGATAAGCGCATCGGCACCACGGAGCTCCTTATCAGCAGCTGCAAGGACCGAAAGAGACGCAGCCATTTCACTGGCGCCTGTCAGCTCACTCCAGTAATTGCAAAAGTCCCGTGTGCCAAGGCAACCGATATGCTCATTACAAACACCCATTGAATCTTGCACCACTTGACATTCCCCATGAAACCTTCGGTGAAACCTTCCCCGTTTTGTTAATTTGCAGCTGGTTCTCTTTTTTTTGTGCAAGTGTACAGCCAGCCCATAGCAAGAGCTGCAAGCTCAGAACCCATCACAAAGGGGATCTGGCAAGAGCGCCGTTTGGTATTTCTGGACGAAGTGCCGCTGGAGCGCCAAAACGCGCTCCTTGTTGCGGCTGGCATTAAACTTGTCGTCCCAGAAACTGCAGCCTCGGCCCTTGTCGGTTTTCTCATCATATTCAACATTGCCGGCCGCGCAAAAGGCTGCAAGATCTGAAATGCCAGACAGCTCGTTCACGGTCACCTCCCCAGCTTTCTCAGCATGCCAAGTGCACGTCTGAGTCCCATTGGGAGCTGAGCAACTTCCACCCAATTCCTGCTCTTCACATTCACTACTTTTGTTGGACCATATTTGCGAAGGGCATCGACCAGGCAAGCTATACCAGAAAGAATCTTCGTACTTCCATCTGACCACATCCTGACGCTGGCAGCCCACGGCATATCCATATTGAGCCCACCAAGTTGGGCAGTCAGGCACTGTGCACTTCCCATAGTCAAACTGCACGAAGTGGCCGAACTGACCTTGCCGCACTGAAAACACGTTGGGTGGGTTGAAGACAGTTACGTTGTATCGAATCACACGAGTGATGTTGTAGTGGCGTGGGCACAGCTTTACAACCTCGTTGTGGAGGTACCACATTACTCCTGCAGCACTGGCAAGGTCACAGTTCTCAGGTGGGTAGTCTTGGACACTCTGCGCTCGATACATGTAGAAACTCATCTTCGAGGCCGTGTCAGCCTTCAAGCACCCGCTGTTGTGGGCGCTGAACCCTGGCACACACTCATCACAACCGTCAGTGCGACACCTTCGTGGCGCACAACCGGCCTGTCGCTGAGCATCAGTGCAGGCGAAGCTGCAATTCCCTGTGGGTTCCAGGGTTTTGCGGTCAAGCTCCGCTTCCCAACCGTCTTCACAATCATTGCAAACTAACCGGGAGCTCTCACAGCTGGTGTCACGAGCTGCCAGAACCTTGCTACGACAGTGTGCTACGTCGCAAAGAAGTCCGCAGAAGGCACCTGACTTGTCCGCTGAGGCAGCTCGATCACTTGAACAGCGCTGACAAACTGCATCTTGGCAGCTGACAGCATTGCTGGGCAAGAAAACATCCTGACAGTAGTCGATGGTGCAGTCCAGCCGCCTACGCACGTAGACAAAATAGACAAGCACAGCCGCCACCAAGGCCAAGCCGAGGAGGTTCAAGGCCACACGACAGGGCGTGCATTTGCAAAAAGCATGGATGCGGCGAGAGACCTCAGACCCCTCAAAACTAGACGACGAGTGGCCCGAAAGCATTTTTCATCACGTAGGAAGTCAGAGTGCGAGTTATCTGTTAAGTGTGTTATAAGTGTTCAGTGTGAAGTGTTAAGTCGAGTGTGTTGAGGCAGTGTGTGGGTCTCTGTGTGTGTGTATCTATGTCTGTGTGTGTATGTGTCTCTCTCTGTATGTCTTTCTGAAGCGCAGGAACACCTGTTTTCTGCAAGTTCTTCACCTCTCGAAAGTCACCTCCGCGTAGTAAAGTTGTACTACAAAGTCGCCAGTTCTCATCTTCCAGCTCCACAGATTGCTCCGTGTACTAAAGTTCTACTACCAAGTCGCCAGTTCTCATCTTCCAGCTCCCCAGATACTCCGCGTACTCAAGTTGTACTACCAAGTCGCCAGTTCTCATCTTCCAGCTCCCCGGATACTCCGCGTACTAATGTTGTACTACCAAGTCACCAGTTCTCATCTTCCCACTCCCCAGATACTCCGCGTACTAAAGTTGTACTACCAAGTCGCCAGTTCTCATCTT